TGAGGAAGGACCAGAAATTCGAGTCCACACTATTAAATACAACCCTGGTTAACTCTCTCATAGGTAATCCCATAAGTGTTCACTACATTGGTTTAATCTTAAACATGTTACACATTAGTACAACCTTTCGATCTACATCCGACCATTATAACCCAAAATTTATACGAACCTGATGCAATAGTGCTGAGCACCAAGAGTAAATATTAACACGGTAATACGAAAAATTAATCTGTAAATACATGATCTTTTGGCATTACATAAGGAAATTTTTTATTGTAATTAAGATTACTATTGGCCACTCTCAGAAAAGAATCATTTTCTAGAAATGGACAACACAATTCTTATTTTTTAAGGATAGAATATCCTTGCTTAAAATGTTGTAATTGTACAAACCTGATCATGATTTTCTCAACGTCATCCAATTCTTTAACAGTTAGAGAATGTATTAATTTTTTTCGTTTTTACAATTGGCTTAAATCTGCAAACAAAACTCAACACACGAATAATACGAATATAGTTATTACTAATGTTAAAAATATGATCTTAAGCAAGAGAATTAGAGTTCATGTTTAAATTAACTAAGTCATTGCCCTCATAAGTTTGAGTTCTTTGCCGAATTCCACCTCAGCCATATCAGATGAAATTACTTCATAAGGCTTAGTCAAAAACCTCTCCTTAGTCAAGAAGTTGGTCTTTAGTTCAGGACTTTAACTGCTAGTAGCCGCGGATGCTTAAACAAACGCGAAGCTTGGTAGAGGCTTTCTCTGGCCGATAAACTCCATGATGATGAAGATAATTGCAAGTCGATGTTTCAGTTTCTTGAACTTCTTCCGTGTTATTTAGATTCTTATATCCCTTGATAAAATTCTTATATAATGTTTTCATATTCGAATCGCTTATAGTCGATCCACACTTGATGCAATCTTTCTCAGAGTTTCGATTCTCCTAATCTATACCTTCCTTATGGGTACTGAACTACGTATTTCCCTCATTTGTCTATAGTGAGTCGCTTAAATGTCTTCCAGGATTTTTCTTCTCACGTCAACATCCTCGATATTTCAATGGTTCAACTTCCCAAAATCTTTGCAAAAGTTCTTCACTCTTTCTCACTATTAGAACTAAACCATATAATTTACTTCTGAGTCATCTTGCATGCACCAGACGCGATATATCCAAAAACTGTTTCTTGAAATATCAACGGTTGATTTTCTAATTAAACAAAATTGATTTTCTATTGAAATTTCCTCTTTAAAATCTCAAAGAACAATCGGCCCTAGTACATATCTATTTGTTAGTGTTCCAAATGCGATCCGCTAATTCAATATCAATGGGAATATTTAATGACTGCACATCTAAACATCTTGAGTTACATTGGTTATTTTAGAATAACCAAGCATTAATGATCTTACATATGTTAAATCCTTATTCGAAATCTTACATCTAGTTCATAATTAATTTATAACGTTCTCATTAATTCCGGATACAGATCATAAATTCTTTCTTTCTTTAAATTTAACAATTAGCACTCCTTTCACACAGAAACAACTCATTGCCCGTGCAAGTATTGCGCGAACTGATCCTTTTCCTTCGGAATTGCGACTATAATTATTGCAGTCGCCAATAACACTTTTTTCTGCGTGTCCAAAAGACAACTTGATTGATTTTTATTAGAGACATCTGCGTTCTTGTTTTAATTCGTCACTCATGCTTCCGTTTTTGTTTTGTCTAACTTATGTTGAATGGCGCCATTTCTGAGAAGGGATGTATTAATGAATGGTTGTTTTTTATGGCATTCGAACATCTGAACTTAGAATTGCATTTGCGATTAATGCTCGTTACTGGACACTTTAGACATAATTTATGGGTTTAACTATTTCATATCTTTGTTTGATATAATTTAAAAAATAACAATTTGCAGTGGATGATTATTTTTTTGCATATAACACAAATCGAAACACTATCGGTTTCAACATCCGAGCCTTTGATTTCGAACTTTTCTAACGGATATTTCCTTTTATTAAACTACGGTTAATGTCATCCAATAACTGACATCTTTCTCTAAAAACGAAATTAATCATCAAACGTAGGAACTTCCGTAGCATTAATGCTTAGTTCAAAGGTTTGCGTTTCGAAAATCTAGTTTCTGAAGTACGATATTAATAACAGAATATCCGATAATTATTTTTCTCATTTTAAAACATTCAAAGCCCTAACGTTTTTAATAAACATTTCTATTACATATCAATTCCTTTAGACGATTCGAATGTTAAAGTACGTAATCCATTATTGACTTATGCGTCTCAATTAATGTTCTTTTATTTTCATACCTATGTGAAGAGATTAAATAGAGAACTAAAAGTATCATCAACATTTTTCAAGATTTTTGCTTCAAATAATGCAGCCTTTAAATAGTAGAGTTTCTGAACTTCTGTTAATGCGTGTTATTCGCTAGATGTTCGATTGAAGCTTAAAATTTTCCATTCGTATATTACCAGAAAACTTAGGAATTGGTAATTCTGGCAACGTATTTGTACTTTAGGATCAAATTTACTACAATCATTTCATTTCAGAATGTGCTATTTGATAGAATTTCCCATAATTTTACCTCCGAACTTCAGTTCTTTCTTCCATTCGGCGATTTCTTCATCGTGGCTGGACGTCTTTTTCATCACGTTTCGAATATCTAATCCTCAAGTTTTAATATCCATTTGAATGCTTTGTAGCGATCTATACTTTATTTGATTCATTCTTATTCGAAATATCATCATATTCCTTCACTACATTTTTACTAGTTAGTTTCGCTTTTTAACGAAGTTTTTTCTATCTAAGCCAGCATTTTGTTCACTTCTCCGGTTCTGCCATGTACTGATCTAAACTATAAGTGGACTGTAGCAAATGACTAACTAATTTATTAACAATAAACTATTCAATCTAATACATGCTCTAGCAGTTGCTTAGCCGAATCCAGATGGCAAGAGAGTTCTTACTTATCCAATAGGTGGCGCTGTATTCTAACTTAACACAGATCAAAAAAAGATTCTACGGGGATTTGGCCTGTGGCTATACCTAAATTTTACCTATAATTTACCCATATTGTTAAAGCAAAAATAAACGTAAATAACTACTAATGTTTTTTTTTTTTTTTTTTTTTTTTTTCAAGACACATTTTATGATACTTTACGTTGAAATTTCACGTTTCTTTTAGAACGGCCACTTGTAAATTGCACTTAGTTTTCGCGTGCAGTTTAAGAATGCATGCTGACTGGGTAGAAACAAACACTATGGTTGCCTTATTAAAGATAACCCTTACAGATAAAAAAAAAAAAAAAAAGATTCTATAGGGATTTGGCCTATGGCTATCCGCATGTGAAATCTCCATAAAAAGCCATATAATTCTTGTACACGTTAGTCAAATCCTCATGAAAACCCACAGACAAAAACTTGTAGAATTGTGCGAGTATCCGTACACCAAATACCTATAGCCCAAAGTAGTAGAACTGTAATGGGTATAGGATTTTGTTGATACCCGTAAAGAAAAACCTCTAAAGATCAATAGAAACCAAGAGGTCAATGGAAATCTGTAAAACCCATAAATAGTTTTACGGGTTTCTTTCATTGCATTTTTACAGTATTATTTGTACTCATAAGGAAAAGCAGTAAATATAAATAGGTAGTAGTAGAAGGCAATAGAGATGTGTAAAAATTTTAATAGTATCAGTAAAAAATTTTATAGCTTTCTTGCGGGGCATTTTTATCTGGTTTAGTTAAATAAAAGTTTACAAAAAATAAAAAACAATTTAAGTAGTAATACTCAATATTGTAAATGGCACCAAAGGTATAGTAGGTGCCGCTTAATGTAATGGCGGTCAATGTTATCATTTGGATATTGTTATTAAGTTGCCTAAGTTATTAAGCTATATACAAAAATACGGAAAATTCATTCTTTATTGTGATGAAAAAATCGGTTAAGGTAATAAAATAAACAAAAAATATAGCTATGAATGCTATAGATACGAATATTATAGCTATGAATTCTGTAATTCTATACAACGTTCTTTTTAGTCGCCAAATGAAGTCGAAATAGAGTACTGAAGTCGCCAAGTGAAGTCGAAATAGAGTACTGAAGTCGCCAAGTGAAAGAGACTTGTTGCCAAGTAAAGGATTAAATCGCAAAAGAGCTTGATTTTGATTTATTTAAACCAAGCATGTACCAAAAAAAAAAATGTTTTAGGAAGATTATTTTTTCAAGTTTTAAGAAGAGCATCTAGACTATAATTAGTGAATTAACGAGGCGAATTTCTAGATGAGTCAACTTTTTAGTGCCTAAATTCCTCTTCCCTTGATTAAGCTTAATACTTTTTATGAACATTCTGTTTTAGAAATTTCTAATTTTATACTGTGTTTAGGGATTTTTATCATGGAGGTCTAGCAAAAGGTTTAATAATCTAAGGAATAAAGTCCATTAGTTAAACCGCTGTGACTAACTTCCAGAATTGAGTCAGCTAAACTACTTCTCGCCTATTAGGTGGCTCCACAATAAAATGGTCACCGCTTCTGGTCTTAGTAGTGGCCAATTCCGTTATAGGCAAATGCCCGCCATTTGTAAAAAAAAAAAAAAAAAAAAAAAAAATCTTATGAAACTTCTAAGATTCTTCGGAGTATAAAGATTAGGCGTACAGCATCGTTCAAATAATTTTCAGAAACATATATGAACTGTTCATAATTGAACTTATTGGTGTTTCGGCGTAACCATTGCAGGCAATCAATTATTGCTTACTTTTTTCCAATTCAAATGCTATGAAAAAATAGGTATTTATATGCTTTTAGTTATATTTATATTAAATTTATTAAATACCTTTGATATTTCGAAAAATACTGTTCTCACCGCTTAATGTTATCAAAATAGCCTGAAGAAATATGATTACATTAAGCGGTGACACTGGACAAAGGTGATCACATTAACATAAATTTTAATTCGTGCATTATGTCTGTCATTTTAGGGAGCTTCACGAAACCAACGTCGAAGTGACACACATCAGCTGATTACTGCTATTATAACACCTCCACCGGACTATGCCACAGTGATCAAGAAAGATTCCTTGTGCGAGCCAGCACCGCCAGCATACGAAGTTGCAGTCGCTGGACTTCAGTCAGACGGTTATGTGTGAAAAAAATATGCGGAACTTTGCCGAAACACCAAGGAATATAAAATTGATATGTGATAAGAAATGACTCTACAGGTTACAGAGAAAAAAAAAAGAAAATTTGAGACAAATCGTTTGGTAATACAAGATGTATCTAGAACCTGATTCAGTAATTTCATGAAATTAAATATACGTGTGAATTATGTGTGCGTTACTATTGGAGCTGCGTTTAGTTATTTTCTGCCATTCAATTACGTGAACAACAAAGGTATAAAGGGGGGAAAGAAAGCGACTATAAATATTGTAATGGTAATAGAATGATTCAAACTTACAGATTGCGCAGTGATTAAATCAGTGATATTTGGATATTGCGCCACATTTTTATGCATGAAATTTATATCTAAAACTATTAAATTCCTCTGTAATAATTAAGAATGTAAATAAAAGCATGCATCTTTCGTTGTAGACATGTCATTGCTGTCATTCACAGACATAATGACACGTAATTTACTGCTGAAGAATTGCTGCTTTACTCTGTTATTCATGTTAGAAAGTCCTCCACGAAGTCATACCTTCCCTTAGGCAGATAGCCCTAGCGTGCTTTGCATAATTAAATAAACCAAAATAAACCAAACCTATTATTCATGATTCTGCTATTATGAGCATATCGCACCCGTTTTATCATTTCCCCAAAAGTATGGGGACAGGCAATTTTTGTTCGTTTGCTGTTAATTCACTCAATACATTAGCCACTAGGAGGCGCGTCTGCTATAACATGAAGAGGGGTTCATAGATCTTAGTAAATCATTTATTGCAAGAGTTGCCAACTCTATCGAGTCCACAAAAAAGGGACGATACAAAATATATTTATATTAATTCCATTTTTATTATTATTGCAAATTCTTCGAATACGATTTTAGGATTATCATTTATGTGAGTAAATACTTTTTTAAAGATTCGAAAACAAATAAAAAATGTTTAAGTTCATTAGATAATAGATTGACTAGTTTTATTGCAATAGGTAATAATGCATTGGCTCATTCAAAACAAAAGATGCATTATTAGAATTGTCATTAAAATTCATTAAAAAGTTATAAACTTCAAAAAATATTTGAAACTTTTAAAATTAGATTTTTAGAAATTTTAGTTTTAAATTTAGTTAAAATTAGATTTTAATATTTAAAATTAAAAAAATTTTAATTTTTAAAATCGTATTTGTTCTGCTTTTTGGTAGACTTCAGAAAATGAGCATCATTTTTTATCTTTCGGCGAATTCTGAACAACTTTCTTTCAAATTAAAATATTGCGTTCTGCGGGTTTGTGGATTTAGAATGATTGATAACAAAACTTGATGAAGAATGAAAACGCAATTTATTTGTTCATATTACACAGGATAGTTCCAAAGACGCGTTACAGTCATCGAAAAACAACGATAAACGCGCTGAAACAACCAGCAACACAGCCTTCAAGGCTATCAAGCTATAACGGTGAAGGCAGCTTTCCGGCAAAGGACGAAAGTACAGCTCCAGACTCGGTTGTTAATCTCTGAAATCAAAGCGCTAGTATTGAACTAAATGCAATCAACATACTCTTCATGATTAAAAAAAAAAAAAAAAAAAACTACTCCGCGTACAGGCAGGGTACTTATAGATTTCGACCTACCTTCGAGAACATTCTCGACTTTACATTCATTTCTATGGGGGCGAAAGCCGACTGCTCTGCTTGGTCACATAAAATTTAAGAAAAAATCGTTATCCGCTGCAGCGCCTATGGATGTAAAGAAAGTTTTGTAAAAGGAGGACCTGTAACCTTTCATAGGTAAGTTAAAACTGCATGATTTATTATTTTATTTCCAGTATTTTTGTCATCTTACTACCTCTTTGAATTGGTTGGAAAGATTCAGCCATATTGTATAAGAAATTTGCCCCCGTATATGACACACACGATACTCTTCACAGGAAAAAAAAAACTACTCCACGTACAAGCAGGGTATTTATAACTTTTGACCTGCCTTCGAGAACATTCTCGGGTAGACCGGTAAGATTTCGCTGTGGAATGTTCTCGCTCCGTCTATGACATAAAGCGAATTTTGTTGCCGAAGGTCGCCAAATGGCGAATTCGCGCCATATCTGGCGACCCTAAACCCGTTTTTCGAGAAAGCTATCTTATCGCAGCTGGGAATTTTTGTAACAATATAAATAATTGATTATATATATAAATATATTAAATTCAACTAAACACATGTTTCCTTTATTTGGTTAGGGACACAACATGGTTTTGGAAATGAGTAACATTTGATCTTGGAAATGAGTAACTTTTAAGATGGTCTTGGAAATCAGTAACTTTTTAACGCAATCGTGAGAGTTAAAACGCCTTTTCGAGCTGTTTAGAGGGGTAGCGTTTAATTTTCCTGGCTCGAAACTTTGAGATAACGTGTTTAATGTAGGACTTCCACGTGAGATTTTTCTGGTATCCTAGAAATTAATCATATAACAGTACAATTGCTATCAAAATATTCTAAATAAATAATTTCTGAAGTAAAAAATAACTTAGTTGCCAATAATGTAATGAGAATCTGCATTATCTATTTTTTGAGATGTTGATGAAACTGAAATCCAAAAAAATTTTTCACATCATATCGAGATTTAATATTATTTCTTATGTTGGTCAAAACGTTGAAAATATCTACACGAATTTTTTTTTTTTTTTTTTCTTCTCTAGGTCTTCAATGACTAAGCTGAATATAGACATTAAGTATCGCAAATATCAACAATAAATATGGACATTTATTATCGTAATGTATTTCATTAATCGGCGTGATTTCTATAGAATTATCATCAATTAGAAGAAGTCTGACTAATTTTTAGGCCAATCAATTGGTCTTCTTAAACGAGTTTTAGGGGTTACAGCCGAAAACATCGCAGACGAAAACGTCGCGGAGAAAACAACGTAAGGCGAAAACGTCGTGCTACAAAAGATCGTGGGAGAAAACATCGCAGTTCTAAAACATCATGGTACAAAACATCGTCGTCGAATAAAGCGGTAAAAAACTTTGCAGTTTAAAACATGGTCTCAGAAATATCGTGGTAAAAAACAAAGTATCTCAAATCATCGATGACGATAACATTGCAGACATACTTATAACGTAAATGGATATTCCCAAATGATTTGTGAGCGCAAATGGAAAGAGGAATTTTTCTTTCATATTTTTATTAACTATTAAATTTTGCTGAGAAAATAAGAAGGAAATTTAAGCATAGAAATTAATGCAACTTATAGCACTTAATAGATTTTAAAACGACATAGTTAACTAACAAAGACTATAAAAATCGTTTTTTATAAAGTTTTTACTCGTAATTTTTCATGAAAAGTATAATCTATAAGTTGCATTTAATTTTCTATGCTTAAGTTTTCTTCATACTTTTTCAGCAAAAATGTATTAGTTAATAAAAAAAATTGTGAAAGTAAAAAATTATCCTTCTTCATATCTTGCGCTCACAAATCATTATGGAAATATCCATTTACAATTATTAAACCCTGAAAAAAGCATGTCTGCGATGATTTGCACATTATTTTTTACCACGATATTTTCAACGACGATGTTTATAAACTGCTAAGTTTTTGAACCGCTTTATTTTCGACAACGATGTTTCGTACCACGATGTTTTAGAACTGCGAAGTTTTTGTCCGCGATGTTTTTGCCGCGATGTTATCGGCGGACACCGTTTTAGAAATGAATTCGAAATAGCATTTTCTCTAACCTCAAGAAAGAAAGGCAGGAAAGTTGATTAAAAGTCTGTCCTTTTCAAAAACGGACGGTTACCAACGGTAATTATGGGCTTGTTATTCTTACACCTGCATTTCCTTATTTCCTATTATTCAATAATGTGAATAATAAAAATGTAAAGGAGAAAAGAGCAGATATGAATACTATAATTATGCAAAATAACCTTGCATCGAGTAAATTAATCAACATTAAGCATATTTGGATATTATATCACATTTTTATGCATGAATTTTATTTCTAAAATTCTTAAATTCCTCTGTAATAATTATGCATGTAAACAAATTTCATGCATCTTTCATTATTCTGATTTATTTCTACAGTCGATAATTCTTTATTTTACAACGCGTCTGAAACTGTGCTTCTTGTAAAAATCAATACCTGGAAAGTTCAAAGCGTATACTGGTGAATTTAATTCATACCAAAACTTTCAATATTAATTAACATCTCATAGTCTCGCTAACATGAACGGTTCGGTTTGGTTTGGTTTATTTAATTATGGCAAAGCACACTAGGGCTATCTGCCTAAGGGGAGGGATGCCTTCGTGGAGGACTTTCTAAGGAAAACTGGCTCGTATACACGTTACACACGGGGAAAACCACGAAAACGCCCTTGCAGCCAGCCCGTTCGTGCATGAACTTTCGGAAATTTGGTTCTCTTTATATACCCGTTCCGATAAGAAAAATGGATTATCGCACAAACACGTGTAAAAGCTGAATAATGAAGAGAGAGAAAAACTTATTTCTTGCAAAAGTGAATAATAAATCTAATATTTGTTGAAGTGATTTCTGTTCAGCTGGTTTCAAAACAATCAATTTTACTGTTTTTAGTAGAATCAGTTTTATATGTTATGTTCTGTACACATGAACAATGCACCAAATGTTACTCGCCATTTTAAATTAATTTATAAAAAGCCTAATAAGTCCTATAAACGTTTATCGATGCTAAAGTGCATTAACAAATCTTTTATGAACAGTGTTAGAATCTTACAAATTTAATGTGGAAACAATTTGATAAAAATTAAAATGCAAACGACATTTTAAATGCGCAAAATTTTCAAAGAGCATAAACGCATGGAAATTGAATATAAAGAATTTCTCCCAGTTGCATACTTGAAAACTGGCTTATATATGCTTTTAATATTGTAATATATCATTATATCATCACTACCTTTTCCTATGTTCTTGTTTTTGCTCGATTGGTTTCAGAACAAAATTAATTTTATTTGCTGTGTCATATTCTGTAGACAAATGTCGTACATGAATGTCACTTACCATTACATTTCATATACTGCTAACCTAATTTTGTAGAGTCCTTAGGTTAATTGGAAGCAGAAAAGATGAAAAATAGCAAACGCCTTCACCGGGAATCGAACCACGGACCTCTAGAATACCGCCCATCTTGCATACCACTACACCACTAAGGACTCTAGGAAAGTGGGAGAAATACCTTATATATTCCCCTTTTAAAGGGCGACTAGGTTTTGCGACCTATCGCCAATCCTGGGTGCGGAGATCATCATCCAACACCCTTTTAGTTCGGGCGCCACTGTGGAGAAATTAGTATTTTCTGGAAGCAAGAGAGATTGAAAATGTGCAACGTCTTCGCCGGGAATCGAGCCACGGACCTCTGGAATACCGGCCCCGCGTGCTACCGTTACATCACGAAGGCACGCTAGAG